ACGTGAATTCCGTTTTCCGCCCGCCCCGGGCGCGGACCGGGCCTTCTCGGTCTCGGCGGGCGCTGTGACGGGCGTCCGGAGCGTCCGAGGCCCAGCCCTCCGCCTCCTGAGCAGCTGGGATGCGCGGCGTGCGCCCGCCCGGGCCGCTCGGTGCGGAGAGCCCGCAGGGCCGGGAGCTGCAGCTGGAGCTTCGCACCCTCTTCTAGCCCGGCCTTGCGTGGCGTGCGCGTGCCCGGCGCAGGCGTGCAAAGCCCCGGGGCTGGCCGCGGCCCGGGCGCAGTCCTGGGGCGTTTCTGCTCCATCGGCACCGCAGCTTTTGGAGGCGAACTGGAGATGAGCGCGTCGTGCGCGTTCCCGCCAGGGTTGGCCTCGGCCACGGGCCTCAGATAGCAGCCTCCTGAGCACCTAGGTTAGAGCGTGAGCCCCGGGATCTGGCGTTACTCTGCATCTTCACAGCAACTTGTGTTTCGGACACACGAAATGTGCACTTCTTTTTTTTATTTTTGTTTTGTGTGGGTCGTGGGGCCTGAACTCCGGCCTGGGCGCTGTCCTCAGCTCTCCCGCCCAGCCACCTTCCCAGCGCCTGCACTTCGTTTTACACTAGCCATGTTCTTTCACACCTACAGATTCGTGTACTTGGCTCCTCTGTTTGAGCCCTCTTTCTTCCCGTTTTCACTTGTTAAAGTCACTGAGGTCCAACTAAGTGCTTCTTCTAGATCCTTCCCTCATCTCTCTCAGACTTACTTCAGCATTTGTCCTTCTATAGCAGTCTTAATTTCTGCTTTAGAACTTGAATTTTGGCTACTTGATCATGTCTCTTTCTGGGTTTTATTTTTTAAGCGATGGGTGGGTGGCACTGGGGCTACTTGCGTTTGGACTTCTCTCTTACTCTAACTCTCCAACTCACTCCTTCACCACTGTGTTTACCGCTGTTACTATTATTTGCTACAACTGAGTGCCATCCTCCAATATCCATCCCATCAGCTCCATGGATCTTTGAATTATATCCAAAAGGTTGTCTTCTATTCAAATTTCAGGATGTAAGTGAGCTATTTATTTATTTACTTATTTAGTCGGTCTTGGAGCTTGAACTCTGAGCCTGGGCACTGTCCCTGAGCTCTTCAGCTCAAGGTGAGTGCTCTACCACTTGAGCCACAGCGCCACTTCCGGTTTTCTGAGTGGTTTATTGGAGATAAGAGTCTCATGGACTTTCCTGCCCAGGCTGGCTTTGAACCACCATCCTCAGATCTCAGCCTTCCTAGTAGCTAGGATTATAGGCCTGAGCCATCGGCTCCCAGCAAGTCAGCTATTTATGTTGAGCAAGTGGAAAAATATTTCTTGGGATTGCTTACTGCTAATACAAACAGTTTGCTAATACCAAACTAAAAGGGTAAAGTTATAAAGCAGATAACTATAATCTATTATTTGAATTTGTATGTACCTGTTTTTGTTTTTTGGCTGGTCCTGGGCCTTGAACTCTTAGCCTGGCCACTGTCCCTAAGCTCCTTTTGCTCGAGGCTCAAACTGTATCACTTGAGCTACAGGTAAGCATCTCATGGACTTTCCTCCCTGGGATGGTTTCAAACCATGATCCTTACCTCTCAGCCCCCTGAGTAGCTAGAATTACAGATGTGAGCCACTGGCACCTGACTGTATGTCTCTTAATCCATATAAATTTCTATCTTTCAGTCAGCTTTTGATCTTTGTGTAGAAATACCCAGGATAAACAATGGGAGAGAAGAAGGATTTATTTCTGCTCTTTCCCTCCCCAAATAGTGTCTGTATTGCACTCATGTCACTTATTTTTCACATATGAGAACAAAGAATATTTGTCTTTCTCAGTCTGCCTCATTTTGCTTAACATGACACTGTCTAGTTTGATTTTTAGCTTGAAGAGTCTCCATACTAATTTCCACAGTGGTTGCACTAATTTGTATTTCTACTATCAGTGTATAAGCATTTCCCCTCCCAATATTTGATGTTTTTTCCCCAAGAATGAAAATCCTCCAAGGGGTTTAAGTAAAATTCCCTCAAAGAAGGTGAACTTTTAAAAGGGGTTAATGGCCAATTGGAACTCCTGGAAAAAGAACCGGTCCAAGCAGTTGGCCAACTGGTGGGGTGGTTGGTTCCTTGAAGGTAAATTTTTTTTAGCTCTTTGTATATTCTGTATACTCAGTAATAGTGTGCTTCCCTGAGCACAGACACTGAATCATGTGATTCCATAACCTTCTCCCCTACACAGGGAGAGAACTGTTCAGCAGGGAAAATGCTTAAGAGAAAGAGGAAGTTCTCTGCCTACCCAGGTAGGACTCAAGCCTCTGTGTGCTCTATTGTCTCGTACATTAATAGGTCATACCTAGACTTGGAGGCTTGATGTCATCAGATACACAAACTGCAGGGCTCAGCCTGTGAAGTGCCCTGTAGCCAGCATTGATTCCCAGTACACAAAGAAGGGAAACTTCTATAGTGAAAGTAGCTCAGAAATGCACAATCAGCCCTTCTATTAGCAATTGATTCTATTAGTGGCTGATCAGGCCCAGTGTCAGAACAAGAAGGCATAAATACTTGGCAACTGAGCCTAACCCACCCACAGTTGTACAGTTCTTGGAGGTTATGTGAGGGAGGGATCTGTAGAATCCAAATGATTGGGAGGATCTGGGCTTGGGGTCCCATGCCTGCCTGCCGCAAACTTACACAGTTCCCAACATTGTGTCTCCATTCTTCAGGAGTCTACAAAATGCATTTTAAGGAAATGAATTAGAAGGGAAAAGAATTTTAAAAAATCAGATAACTTCCACCCCTTCTGCCTCCTTATCTGTAAAGCTGATCATAACTCCCTAATAAGAAAATAGAACTGTCTTTCTTACATTGGATTGATATTATGGTTATCATTTTTTAATTTTGCATAGTGATTTTGAACCTGAGTGGCTGGACAGTGTGCAAAAAAGTGGTGAGCTGTTTTATTTGGAATTGAGTGAAGATGAAGAAGAAAGCATTTTTCCTGAGACATCGACTGTGAACCATGTCAGATTCAGTGAAAATGAGATAATCATTGAGGAAGATAATTACAAGGAAAGAAAAAAGTATCAACCCAAACTCCAACAGTTTACTAAAATTTTAAAAGGTAAAAGACTTTTACCCAAGTGCTACAATAAAAAAAATAGCAATGATAATGGGCCGGTATCCATTCTAAAGCATCAGTCCCATCAGAAGGCAGGTATCATTGTCCAACAGATGCATAAAGATGTGAATATTTATGTAAATCCCCAAAAATTAACTGTCAGCAAAGCCAAAGAGCAGCTTAAACTTCTGGAAGTACTGTTTGGAATTATCCATCAGAACAAGTGGAGTTGGAGAAGAATTGGAAAGCAGGGCAGTGGAGAGAGGCTTGTGGTCCACGGCCTGCTGCCTGGAGGGTCTGCTATGAAGAGTGGCCAGGTGTTAATTGGTAAGTGTGCCTCATGAACATCAGTCCTTGTCTGCAGAGACACATGGTTAATGAATCCATGTGAAGGACGTGATACAAACCAGAATTTATGTATTCTTAACATATTAAGGACTGATAAATATCTGGTATAATAGTGAAATGGTTACAGATAGTAAACCACAAAGCACAGTGTTCTTAAAATAGCACTTTAGATGGTTGGATACATATGTGAGTTGTCAGGGAACACTTAACTAATTTTGATTTGTACAGTTTTGTTACATCTTGGTTATATATTCTGAGAGAGAGAGAGAGAGAAAGAAGTTGATTACATAGTGGTAATAATTTGGACTTCAATGATTGTATCAAAAAATGACACAAAACATATATGAATAAGTATACTTTTAAAGTGTATGTACTTGAGTCCAGTAATTTCACAGAGTGGTTTTAAACTGTGTAGTTTGGCATACTTAGCAACAGTGATCATATACATACACTTCCTTTTAAAGGTACATGTCATGAAATATACTACCAATTTTGTGAAAAAAAAACCATGAGTTATTTTGATTATATTAATACATTTTGAGCTATTATATATGTTTAAGTTAGTAGCATGTGCTTACTTGAAGATAAGCTGATCAAATCTGAGAATACATTTATTAGTGAAACATAAAAGTCAAGCCAGGCTCTGGTGGCTCACACTTGTAATCCTAGCTTGTAATCCTAGGCTGAGATCTGAGGATCAGGGTTCAAAGCTAGCTCAGGTAGGAAAGTCTGTGAGACTCCCATCTCCAATAAACCACCCAAAAACCGGAAGTGGCTCTGTGGCTCAAGTGGTAGAGCACTAGTCTTGAGCTGAAGAGCTAGGGACAGCACCTAGACCCAGGGTTCAAGCCCCACAACTGACAAAAACAAAAGCCACAGTTCTAAAAGCTAATAGTCTTGAGTTAACCCATCTTGGCAGCTTTAGTAAATAGCACTCTTTGTTTGCCTTACTGTAAGTGTAACCCCTCTCTGAATCACCTTTATAAAAACAATAAAAAAATTTAAAAATATGAGAAAGTAGAGATATGGCTCACTTGGTAGAGTGTTAGCCTTGAGCAGAATGCCAAGGGAGAGTGCTCTGAGTTTGAGCCCCAGTACTGGCAAGACACGCACACCAAAAAATAAGCTCTTCTCTAAGAGAAACGTTTTTTTTTTTT